TTTTGCCAGGGGAGTTTCCCCTGATCCCAGCCCCGTGTTCGAGCTGCCCGAGAGCAGGCCTGACCAGCAAACCATCCACTGGTTTCAGCGGCCCGCGTCGGGCTATATGTCTGGCCTTCTGTTCCTGGACGTGTCCGCGCTGTTCCCGAGCTCCAGGGCGCTTTCCAGGGCTGGGTGGCCTGTGGTCAGTTGTGACAGGTTTGGCCAGGTTCTGTCTGCGGCTTATGGGCCAGTACCGCAGGACCAGGCCCCTTTCCAGCCATCGTGGGAGGCCGAGGACTGCAGTCCGAATGCTGGCCCTCGTTGCGCTGCCGCCCGTCGATCTCTATATAGATTGCAAAGGCACGGCGTCGACGCTCTTGGCGGGCCCTGGAGCGGGCTCGGGACCGGTGAACCCCCGAGCCCATATGTGGGCTCCGTTCTGGGCGGCGTTCGAGCCGAATGATTTCACGGCCCACAAGACGAAGGCCCATTGCAGCATAGTAGATGTGCAGAACGATCGCACCACCCTTTGGGAGAAGCGGGGCAACGATGCCGCCGATGAATTTGCGAAGCGTGGTGCCGCCCTCCACGGAGTGGGGGAGAGCGAGTACCACCTCTGGCGTGGCCTGGTGGAGGCCGCTCGGGAGGTGTGTCGGTGGAGTGGGCGTTTGCACGCGTTGGTGGGGGACGGGGAGGCCTGCCAGGACCATGATGACCTAATGGAGTTGTATGTTGCTGGCAGAGGACGGGCGCAGGCGTCGACAGAGGCGCAGCCCGACGATGTGCCTGCTCCAGCCCCCGCTGCTGCGCCAGCGAGTGTGCCCATGTTGCGCTTGCCAGCTGAGGGTTTCGAGGCCGATCGTGACATGGGTTACTCTTTCAACGGCCACCCGGTGCTGCACGCGACGGTCAATTCGAGGTCGGGCCATGCAGATGGCAAGGCCATACATGTTTGTTGTGCTTGCGGTGCCTTCTTCAGCGTGGAGCGGCCGACTCGAGCTCTCCTCAGGCCGTGCCTCCGTGAGAGCGCGGCTTCGGGCTTGAGGCGGCAGCTCACGAAGATTAAGGAGAGCAAATACCCGTCGGACAAGGAAGGGCTGAAGGACCTGTCCTTGAACCCCCCCGGGGGAGTGCCGCACGCTGTTCGTGTGCGACTGGCCTTGATTTTTGGTCCTGTAGATTCTGCCCCTGGCGCCTCGGCTCAGGTCTTGGGGGGAGGTGGGCTCCGGGGGGCGAGTGCATTGGGGGGGATGGCGTCCCGAGCCGAGGTGCTGATGGCCTTTGGCCTCCTGGAGGGGGACCTTCCAGCCATCCGCGCTGATGGGCTCCGCCATTTGCGCAAGGAGGCCGAGGAGGGGCCCGAAGAGCCCCTGGACGGGCATGTCGAGGAGGCCTCCCAAGCTTCGGAGGCCTCCGAAGCCGAGCGCTAGCTCGACCGCGCTGGCTTTAGGCCGCTTGCTCATCTCATCTCACCTCCTCCTCCTCCTCCTCCTCCTCCTCCTCCTCCTCCTCCTCCTCCTCCTCCTCCTCCTCCTCCTCCTCATCCTCCCCTCCCCGCTCCTCCCCCCTCGTCCGCCCCCGTGCCTCGGTGCGCCGACCCCCGTCGCTTTGCCCCCCCCCTCTCCCGCGCGCCCGCGGGCGGGGGGGGGGGGCTGGGGCAGCGAGGCGGGGCACAGCCGCGGGCGGCGTGCGCCGCTGGCCAGCCCGACGGCCCCTCTGCCGCCGGCCAGCTCGACAGCCCCGCAAAGCTTCTGCAAGCTCGTTTTCTTCTGTTCCAAGAAGCCTCGCAAGGTGTTTTTATTTCTCTATATTGGCTAAGACAAAACAGTTGTCTATCGATGCGGCTAGCACTTGGAGAAGTTATGGGCGGCCGCCGGCGCCGCGGGCTCAGGCCTGCGCGCCGCGGCGCGGCCTCTGGCTCCGACCCGGCGGGCTGGCATCGCCTCAGGGGTCACTGGGCAACGGGGCTGGGATTAAGGGAACGATCGGGCATAGTCAGGACCCCAGGTAGGGGGACCCGGTTAGTGGTAGGGCCCTGGAGCCCTTAAGTTGGCCAGAATCACTAAACCAGGTCTGCCACCATAGCTGGTGTTTTTGTCGGGTGACGGCAGTTCCGGTTAGTGGAACGGGGCGGGGGGGCGTCCCCCAGGACACATCCCTAAAGCATGTCCCACTAAACCCAGCTCTGCCAACGCCCGAAACGAATAATGGCATGAGGTGGCAGGTTCTTGACGCCTCGGGGTCTCCAGAGCCCGCCTCGTGTTCTCCCTCGCCCTCGTGGCCTGACGGCCTTCGGCGCTCGGTCGCCCTGCCTACCGTGCCCGAGCCGCGGGGCGGAGGGCCAGGCGGCCTCGGGCTCGGGCGTGCCCGAGCACGGAGCACGTCGCGGCGGGGCAGGGCGTGAGCGGCGCTGTGACTGGGAGCAGCGTGTGATGGGCTTGTTTTCCGCCAACACCACCACCAGAAGTCGGAGGGGGGAAGGAGGTGGAGGAGGTGGAGGAGGTGGAGGAGGAGGACGAAGAGGAGCAGGAGGAGGCGAAGGAGGAGGAGGAGGAGGAGGAGGAGGAGGACGACGACCCCTCCCGCTCCTGCTTATGGTGGTGGCGGCGGACAACAAGCCCACCAGCGTGGGCGAGCGCAGCAGCATTCGGCTGCGTGTGAGAGTGACCCTTCGCTGGAGTGACGTCTGGTGCGGGCCCACCAGGGTCCCCCCGATCGCTGGGCGCGATGCGGCAGCAGGGGCCTGCGCGCTTGGATTTGGCCGCTACGCGCCCCTTCAGTCACCGCCCTCCAGACCACCCCAACCCAACCCGAAGGCTTCAATTTGCCCTCCATTTCCGGTTGGGGGGGGGTCGGGGAACAATGAACAACACGCACAAAACCCGTACCCCCCTCGACCCGAAATTGGGGTCTTCGGGTTGGGTTGGGGTGGTCTGGTAGGTAGTCATTAAGCCGCGCACCCAGGTCGTTCTCGCCTAGGGCCACTCTTGCGCGTAGACGAAGCACGGACGAGCACACCTAGTGCGACCGCAGCGGCATCGCGCTGGCCGCTCGCACGACACTTACTCTGGCGACCCTCCAAAATTCAAGTCGAGGCTCCTCCTGACCTCGCGGTGCGGCTTGAGCGCGCGGAGAAGTCCGCCATGGCTCACTTTGGCACGCACTTCGCTTCCGTGGCAGGTGGGCTACCAGGTTTTGTCGGGTTCCCCCCCCAGTGCCAGCATCGCTTGCGACCCGTTCTCTTCCCACTCGTGCCCTTTGCCCTTGGTCCTTGCCAGGGCTCTGCGGGTGATTTCAGGGTTGTTTCGAGATCTGCAGAGATCCTGGAATACGATCGGACCGAGGTATAAGATCGAGGTCGGCTCGGGGAGGGTATCCTAAGGTTCTTCGTGTATATTGGATGTTATTGTGAATCCTGGGGGAGGGTACCCTCGAATGTTCTTCAGTTTGGGCCAGCGGAGGGCCTCCTGTTCTTGAAGGATGTTCTTCTGTCCTAGGTTCGACTGTAAATAAAAGTATTATTAATCGCTTCGCTCATTCCGCCGGCCCATATTGTCGCACCATTGTGGGCTAGCCGAGTTTGGGGGCCTCTTGGGGGCCGTTTTTGGGCCTCTTGGGGCCTCTTTTGGGCCTCTTGGGCGCCTCTTGGGGCGTCTTGGGGGCCTCTTGGGGGCCTCTTGGGGCCTTTTTGGGGCCTCCTGGGCGCCTTCTGGGGCGGAGGGCTCGATTTTTCAGTTCTCGGTTCTCCTCTTGAGCCCCTCTTGGGCCCGTCTTGGGGCCTCTTGGTCCGTCTTGGGCGGCACTTGGGCCGTCTTGGGGGCCCTCCTGGGCCGTTCCGGGGCCGTCTTGGGAGCCTCGTGGGCCGTCTTGGAGCGGTCTTGGGGGCCTCTTGGGCCGTCTTGGAGCGTCCGGAAGCCGAAAAAGCCAGAACGCAAAAAACATCGAAAAAAAACAATGAAAATCAACGATTTTGGCCTCTTGGGGCCCTCTTCGGAGGCCTCTTGGAAGGCCCTTGGGGCGTCTTGGAGGCCTCTTGGGCTGTCTTGGGGCCCTGTTGGGCGTCTTCGGGCGATCTTTGGCCGTCTCGGGGCCCTCTTGGACCGTCTTGGAGGCTTCTTGGGGACCTCTTGGCCCGTCCTGGGGCCCTGTAACAGGGCTCCGGCATCTCTGGCCCGACCTTGCCGGGACCTTGCCGGGGACTTGCCGGGACCTTACCGGGGACTTGCCGGGACCTTGCCGGGGACTTGCCGGGACCTTGCCGGGGTACTTTTCGTCCAGGGACCCCCAGGGGCCGCCCAGTATTATTTTCTGTCATTTCGCCGCTTGTTCCATAGAGCAGACGCGACTTGTCTCACCAGCTTGTCGAGGCACCTCTGACGTGAACGGGGCTCTATCTCCCGAAAAACAAACAGCGCCATAAGCGTTACCTTTTGAAGTTCCGCGCAGATTCCTTGAATCCGCGCTGGCCCCCCTTCTTGGCGCGCGGAGCGCGCCAGGGGCGGCGTCGGAGGCGCCGCCAGGGGCGCCCAGCGCCGATCCAATGAATTCGCGCGAAGCGCCGGAAGTTTATGTTTATGCCGCATGCTGTTCATCCTGAGCCTCTTGGAGCCTTCTCAGGGTGTCTTGTGCGGGCCTCCTGGGCCGCCGCGAGGGCCTCTTGGGCCGTCTGGAGCGCACTTGGGCCGCCTCCGGGCCTCCTGGACGGCCTGGAGGGTATCTTAGGCAATGTTCCCAATCACCCAGCTGCTCCAATTTTGTTCGATGCGTGGGCCCCAAAGGTCTGGATCACTTTCCTAGGGCAAGTTTGTTGTCCCACGTCGTTTTTGACGGTCTCGAGGCCCAGCGAGGGCCCCTGGAGGCCGAAAACAGCCCCAAACCCGCCGATCCAAGCTTTTTGGAGCGTCGGATCTTTGAGTATTTCCATTTCCTTTCTGCACATCCTCCCCTTCCCTCCCCTTTCCCCCCCCCTGTCCAGCCGCGCCACCGCGGCCGCCCTTCAGACCTCCCCCCGCCGCGAG